TGGATTGCGAGGAAGGCGGCCCTCACAATAAATCAATTTAATCGGATCTCTACCTGTCAAAGCCGCGGCATCTAAAAAAGCCAACCTCGAGGCACGTTTGTGGCTTAGCAAATTTTGGCATTCCCACCACCCCCATGATACGGATTTTCTGCACAACTTCTCTGTCGACCTGATTCGCGCGTCTCCTCCACAGAATGGAGGTTAGCGCGCGCGAACGGTATCCTGTGGTCGCCACAGAGAGGAAGTCAAACGGACAATCGATAAAGGACAAGAGGGAAAAAACAAATGACATTAGCACACTTTTGATCGGGCCGAGCACCACTTCGTTTTGGTCGATTTTGGCTAAGAATATTTGGAAAGTTTATGTCAATACATGTTCCCTTTTAGAGGGATAGAAGACCGTAGATAATAAATTCTGTCTATGGTTGCTGATGTTTGGAATGGTTTTTGGTCAGATGCACACTAGGTATGGTTTGGCATCAACGATATTGGACTAACCGTCGGTTTCTCGCATGTTGCTTGACCTAGATCTGCGAGATCGGGAGTTGTGAAAGGTCAAGGTCGGCTTTCTAAAGGAGCGGATAATCGGCGACCGCGACAAATAACATAGCTTCTAGTCATTGATGTAGATTTTTTTTGCTGACTATTTTGGTAATTTTTTTTTCTTCGGCAGATAAACAAAACACGAACTTTTTTCGGGGTACCTGATTATCACTTTCAATACAATTTTTTTAGCTAATAATATTTTACCGTACAATAATAAAGTAAAATCAAATTTCGAAAAAGAATCTTCAATAAATCTGTCGTGTCTCTCGTCGACATTTTTTTCTCTGAAAAATTTGAGGCATATTGTTTGTTTTTTAAGTAAATAATTAATTTCTCTCACCTTTTTATTTTGTGTTTTAAAAATTTTGCGATATTTTTTTTGTTTTTGACTTTTTTTTTACTACATATCGTTTTTTTTTCTTTACATATGAGATTTTATTGAAGGCGTTTTGTAAACGATGCGAAAAAATAACGTTAAATTTTCTTTTTTTCCTTGGTCGAAAAATGAGTTAAGTTTACAATTTATAAATCTTTTCTTCTTATCCGACAAATATTTTTGTTTTAATTTCTAACAATAATTCTATTGCCACGCGTGTCTTTTCTTTGAAAAAATTTAAAATTACTTAAAGGAGGAATATTGACGAAATCGCCATTTTTTCCATTTTTTTTAATTAAAGTTGTCTGTAACCCGGATATAAGAGAGTTGTCGGGACCGGCGATTTCTCTTATATCCGGTTTTAATCTATTGAAAAAAGGTAAGTATGGGCTCTAATTTTGACCAGAGAAAATCTCTCTTATATCCGGGTTTCTCCTATATCCGGGTCACACTGTATTTTATTTATTACTAGGGAGCCCGGCGATGTAACAAAGAGATAGATCAAGTATCCACCATCATTTTTTAACAAAAATAAAATTGACAAAGATTATTGTCTAATTTGACGGACACATGTCTTAGTTTTTTTTTTTTTTCGAATTGGATTTCAAACCCAAACTCAAACATTGTTTTCAATCGTTTTGAGTCTACCGATTGAATAGAATTTTATTATAAACAATTGTCTTGTAAATGGAATTTTTAAAGCATTCTGAATGTAAAATAAAGAAAAAAAATTCAAGACAATAAGAAACACTACCTGCCAAAACAAAAATTTGAAGTTTTGTTGAAAAATGTAGGAAATCCGATCCCATATATAAACGGGTACACACACACACAAACAACCTGGGTTTTATAATAAGTATAACTCGATATGAGTTGTCCCCTTTTAATCCCCCCATGTCTCTTAATCGTGTTTTCAAATTGATTTCGTGCAAAAAGAATTGTGTTTTTCCAATTTTTGGCGCTGTCAGAACCACCGCAAGGTAATTTTACATAGTCCTGTGAAGTTTTTTTGAAGTCGTTGAAAAAAATGTAGGAAATCCGATCCCATATATAGACACATTATTTATTGTACTATGTATAAATGTGGCATAAGGCCGAAATGGGGGCTGAGGAAAGGACGGTCATCACTTGTCTTAAAATAAAACTTAGCTAGCCACAACCACTGACCCTATCATACTAAACAATATTCCTATCACCAAAACAACCGTTTTTATCCATACGTTTTTCTTACTACATCCACCAAAATGCCTCTTTGACTCAATGAAAATCCTAAATACATCCCCCTTATGTACAAATATTGTCTATGGGGAGGGATGGCATAAAAACAACAATTTAAAAAAAAATCCCCAGGACCTTTTATCCAATATGTCGAAATATATTTACAAGAAACTAAACAAAATTAGTGTTAGTATTAAAAACCCCACAAACTTTGTATATGGCAGAAATATCAGTTAACCGGACGAAATCGATGCGTTGACTATGAAAATAAGGACACATTCAAACCGTCAAGCACTCACTCATCCATACTCAACAACAAATACGAAAGCACTCGCTTAGGTCGAAACAAAAGGCGCCCCGCATCCGGACAGAGAACAGACATCACTGACCACCTAAACGAGGGAGGGACGGGGATTAAACTAAAGGAAGAAAATTGGGGACATCGGCAAAAGGGGACCAATGAGCAAACACACCCTAGCTAAGTTTATCAGAACAGGAAAGAAAAACTAAACGAAAAAATACAAAATCCTACTCTAACCTAATTTCGGGATGGGTTGCCCATGTTCAACCCAGGAAAACAATATCCTGAGGCCTAACCGACATCAAAATGCCACTCCAAGTCAGCCCCTTTTATACGGCACAAACGTACACAAACGGCACACCTCTCTGACCTGCTTCGCCTACTGATACACTCTGGCGCGATCCCGTTTCCGCGGTTGATCCGCCCTGTGGAGTCGTATCACTGTGCTGCCTTGGCCCTGTTTAGGGACACCGTCTTCGCCTGGTGATACACTTTGGCGCGATCCCGTCTCCGCGGTCGATCCGCCCTGTGAAGTCACATCACTGTCCTGCCTTGGCCCTGTTTAGGGACACCGTCTTCGCCTGGTGATACACTTTGGCGCGATCCCGTTTCCGCGGTCGATCCGCCCTGTGGAAGTCGCATCACTGGTCTGCCTTGGCCCTGTTTAGGGACTCCGTCTTCGCCTGGTGATACACTTTGGCGCGATCCCGTCTCCGCGGTCGATCCGCCCTGTGAAGTCGCATCACTGTTCTGCCTTGGCCCTGTTTAGGGACTCCGTCTTCGCTATTCGGCCGAACCAGCTACGTTCGCCGACCAATCCTAAACTACCGGCCAGACCAGATCAACCCTAAACAACCGGACCAGACCAACCATATATTCGACCGAACCAGCTACATTCGACCGAACCAGCTACGTTCGCCTACCAATCCTAAACTACCGGACCGGATCAGCTACATTCGACCGAACCAGCTACGTTCGTCGATCAACCAGTCATACCCGACCACACCGATGTAAACGTGTTAATAAATTCGACACTTTTGTTCATAACAAAAACCTCTGCCTTTGTCCCGTCATTGTCTTGGCTGTTCACATTTATCGTACATAAAAACCTTGCGGGGGCGACATCCTACTCGGCCCCGCAACAAGTGGTGACTTCCCGACGTGAGACAGCTAAGCGATGATGGAGTCGGCTAAAAGTGATTCTTTGGACATGACGGCTGCGATCATACCTCTGCCTGCATACCACCATAATGCCAAGAATTGGTTCTTGCAGGTGGAATCCATCTTTTCAATGCTACGCATTACTTCACAGCGAGCCAGATTCGCGAACGTAATGCAGAAACTCCCATCCGATATGATGGACGAAATTTCTGACGTCCTCTCCGATTTGCGCGAGCATGAACCATACGATCACTTAAAGGAAGCAATCCTCAAGCGAACCGGACGTTCCGAGGAAGATATGATTCAAGAAATACTGCGGAACGTCACTAGAGGCGACAAAACGCCATCCCAGCTTCTCAGATATATGAGGAACCAACTGGGAAAGTACAACGTGTCAGAAAAGGTTCTTCGAGGTTTATGGCTGGAGCATTTGCCTAAATCTGTCGCTCAAATCATCGCACCAATGACGAGAGCTACGCCTCTGGACGATTTGGCGGAATCTGCTGATCTAGTTTTCGCACAGTTCGACCACAGCGTTAACGCTGTTCGCGCCCCGACATAGCAAAGCACGAACGCTACGAGCCGAGTAAAACAGAACGGGCGTTGGCCGACCTTCAACAAATTCAAGCTCCAGATCTCCCTGCGCCCGCTCGAGACATCCCCCATCTCGACGGAGACGAACCCCAGCCGAGAAAAGCGACCAGGGTGTTTGTTGGTTTCATCGCACATTCGGCGATGGGGCCAGGAATTGTAAACCTCCTGTACACACCCGTCGGCCCGGGGAAACGAATAAACCGGAGAGTCGCGACGACTAACTCTTCCGGTGCCAACACGCAATGTCGTCTATTTTACGTTTGGGATCGACGGAACAAGTTGAAATTCCTGGTGGACACAGGTGCGGCCATCAGCGTGGTACCCCTTCAGAACGACCACACCGCTAGGCCCACCCTGGTCAAACTACGAGCTGCGAATGGTTCCGCGATAGACACGTACGGAGAAAGGACCCTTACTCTGAATATCGGCATGCGACGCGATTTCACTTGGACATTTACCGTGGCCAACGTAAAAGGTACCCATCCTCGGCGCGGATTTCCTGGCGCATTACGCACTGGCGGTCCATATGAACCCTAGGACTCTGTCCGATACGACGACGAATCTCCGTGTCTTAGGTACCCCTACACGTCAAGGCTCCACAGGAATCAGCGTCGCAACATGCCATGGTCGCGAGTACTTAGATCTCCTGACGCAGTTCACGGATATAACGCTGCCACTCCAAGTAACGGCTTCAGGTGACCATCAGACCAGCACCACATCAGAACCCGAGGTCCTCCCGCACACTCCCATCCGCGACGACTCGCTCCGCACAAACTGGCGTACACCAAGGAGCAATTCGACAAAATGCTCAGTGATGGCATCATTCGTCCTTCCGATAGCCCTTATGCCTCGCCACTACACTTAGTGCCTAAACCTGGTGGTGAAGAATTTCGGATATGCGTCGACTACCGAAAATTAAATGCATCGACCGTACCAGACAAATATCCTGTCCCTCATATCCACGATTTTGCATCCGGATTGATGGGTGCTCGCATCTTCTCAAAAATCGACCTGACAAAGGCATACCATCAGATCCCCGTCGCTGCGGAAGACGTCCCTAAAACGGCAGTCACAACACCGTTTGGCCTATACGAATTTCTGAAAATGCCGTTCGGCCTACGTAACGCTGCCCAGACCTTCCAACGGCTCATAGACGAAGTCCTGCGCGGACTTCCGCATGTATACGCTTATATCGATGACATCTTGGTGGCCAGTACAGACGCCGATTCTCACAGGCAACACCTGCGAGAAGTCTTCCAGCGACTCTCGCACTACGGCCTGAAGTTGAACCTGGACAAGTGCGTTTTTCAGGGCGCCCAGCGTTGACTTTCTCGGGCACCGCACCGACGCAGACGGTATAGCACCTCTGCCAGACAAGATCAGCTCGATCCGGGATTTTCCCACACCGACGTCCATGAAACAATTTGCGACGTTTCCTCGGTATGCTCAATTTTTATCGTCGGTTCATACCAAATTGCGCTACCATCCTCCAGCCACTGACGAACCTGCTGCAGAGAAGAAACAAAGACATCTCTTTGGAGGAGATGCTCTGCACGCATTCCATACAGCGAAGGCTGCATTGGCCAATTATACCAGGCTTTCGCATATCAACGACGATCCAGAGACCCGACTCTTCCTGACAACCGACGCATCGGACGCTGGTGTGGGCGCGGTGGTTGAGCAAGAGTTCAACTCACAACGCGAACCCATCGCATTCTTTTCAGCCAAGCCAGCCCAGAGAAAATATAGCACCTTCTTCCGAGAGCTGCTGGCCATTTATCTGGCCGTCAGGCATTTCAGGCATTTACTGGAAGGTCGAGATTTTACCATCTATACCGACCATAAACCGTTGACAACCGCGATGAGTAACAACTCTGACAAGTATACAGCTCGCGAGATCCGGCATCTCGACTACCTGTCACAGTTCTCGACCGATATTCGTCACATAAAGGGAAGGACAACGCCGTCGCAGACACATTATCGCGAGCGGAAATTCAATCTCTTCAGACCGGCGTCTTGGGTCAAGATTCCATAGCCGCTGAACAAAAATCCGACCCCACGCTGCAAGACGTCCTTTCGAATACTTCTTTAAAGCTTCGGGAGTTCCTGCATCCTTCAGCGACGACACCCTGTACTGTGACACCAGCCTAGCAAGCCCTAGGCCCTACATCCCACCGACACTTCGGAGACAGGTATTCCAACATTTCCACGGGCTGTCTCATCCGAGTAAGAGAGCTACGGTCAAACTTATTACCGACCGATTCGTTTGGCCCAATATGAATGCGGACATTCGAGAATGGGTTTCCACGTGCATGGAGTGCCAGAAGTGTAAGGTCCACCGACACACTAAATCCCCGTCGGCACCTTCAGCAGTCCCGATGCGGTTCTCACACATACATGTCGACTTAGTGGGACCGCTTCCGATGTGTCAGGATTACCAGTATCTTTTGACGGTTGTGGATCGTTTTTCGCGGTGGCCGACCGCCATACCTATAAAAGACACTTCTGCTAACACAGTCTCTAGGACCATCCTGAAAGAGTGGATTGGAACTTTCAGCACGCCCCAAGTCATCACGACCGACAGGGGGTCACAGTTCAGTCGTCCCTTTTCGGGAGTTTACCAACCTACTTGGCGCCAAGCACATAAAGACTACCGCTTATCATCCGTGCGCCAACGGCTTAGTTGAGAGGTTTCATCGGTCCCTTAAAACCCCCTGGCCACTAGACCTGACACTATCAATTGGGTGGACGACCTACCTTTAATTCTCCTAGCATTGAGGAACACCGTAAAAGGAGGATTTAGGTTGTTCACCCGCCGAACTGGTTTTCGGTACACCTCTTGCGCTACCGGCGAATATTTCGACGACTCCCTTCAGACGTTTTCAAAACCAACATCTCCTTTCGTCGAGGAACTCCGCCACAAAATGGCCCGGCTTAAATATGCAACTCCGCGACAGCAACCGGTGAATTCGTACATCCCTCAACACTTGCGAGATTGCAAATTCGTTTTCGTACGGAACGACGCCGTGAGACGACCACTCACGCCGGCATACCAAGGTCCTTTTCAGGTTCTTCGACGCACCGACAAGCACCTTACGATCAAGCGCGCCAACTCGACGGACGCCATCGCAATCGATCGGACCAAGCCTGCTTTTCTGGAGAAGCGACAGTATGACGCAAACCCGGCTCTGCGGCCCCCTAATGCTATTCCAGCGCACCCATCAGACGCAGCAGACGCCGCAGACATCAAACGACACCCCAGCGACTCCTGTGCGGCAGACCCGATCCGGTAGAAGGGTCACTTTCCCTAAAGACCTTCGTAAATATTATTATTATTAATTGATATGATCAATTTTCTGGGGAAGGGCTTGTCGCGGTCGCCGATTATCCGCTCCTTAGAAAGCCGACCTTGACCTTCACAACTCGATCTCGCAGATCTAGGTCAAGCAACAGGCCAGAAACCGGACGGCTAGTCCAATATCGTTGATGTCAAACCATACCTAGTACGCATCTGACTATGCTGAGCCATTCTAAACATCGGCAACCATAGACTATAATTTATTATCTACGGCCTTCTACTCCTCTAGCCAGGGAGTACTTGAACAAATCTTTGCAAATATCCTTGGACACTTTTTTTCGCCCAAACTAGGCAGCTCGGCCCGGAGGCCTGGATCAAAGTGTAGTACACTACCTTGTGAACTTCCGGTGCTTTTGTCGAGAGTGTTACTCTTCGGCGCGATCCCGTCTCCACGGTCGATCCGCCCTGGAAGGTGTAACACCTCTCTGACCTACCTCGCCTGGTGATACACTCTGGCGCGATCCCGTTTCCGCGGTTGATCCGCCCTGTGGTTGTATTACTGGTCTGCCTTGGCCCTGTTTAGGGTCTTCGCCTGGTGGCTTTGGCGCGATCCCGTTTCGATCCGCCCCGTGAAGGCATCACTGGTCTGCCTTGGCCCTGTTTGGGGACTCCATCTTCGCCTGGTGAAACACTTTGGCGCGATCCCGTTTCCGCGGTCGATCCGCCCTGTGAAGTAGCATCACTGGTCTGCCTTGGCCCTGTTTAGGGACTCCGTCTTCGCATTTCGGCCGAACCAACTACGTTCGCCGACCAATCCCTAAACTACCGGGCCAGACCAGCTACTTTCGACCAGACCAGCTACGCTCACCTACCAATCCTAAACTACCAGGCCAGACCAACTACATTCGACCGGACCAGCTACATTCTACCGAACCAACTACGTTCGCCTACCAAACCTAAACTACCGGGCCAGACCAACTACCGGACCAGACCAGCTACAATCGACCGAACCAGCTACGTTCGTCGATTAACCAGTTTTCGGACCACACCGATGTAAATGTGTGAATAAAAACGACACCTTTGTTCATAACAAAAACCTTTGCCTTTGTCCCGTCATTGTCTTGGCTGTTCACATTTATCGTATACTTAAAAACCTTGCGGGGGCGACATCCTACTCGGCCCCGCAACACTTTGAACGAAAACATTTTTCGTCTTTCTCTTTGGGCTCGCCGTAAACCATTCTACAAGACCATGCTTCGTTTCTCCCGGCTAGATGCCCACAGCAGTCCAGAACATTTACCAGCGGCCAATACAATATTTACCGAACATTCTTTATAACTTTGAACCTGTACATTAAAAAATATGCATAATCACTTACAAAAAAAAAATATCCACAGTGAGTACTCCTTTCTATCTGTGCGCACATTCTTTTTACGGAACTGTATAAAACTTTCTTTTCCCGCCTTTGGCCATCTTGTATTTCTATTTTGGCGCGGAACATTTTCATTGATCCCTACCTTGAGCTAAGTTACTTGTTACTGTTTAATTAAAGTTTTGTTTATTTATGTTTTATAAACAGATGTCTTTGTCATTTTTATTTCGGCTATCTTAATACCATTTATTTATGCACTTGTTGATTGACCCCTTTCCTCTCATTGTTCATTCACGCATTTTACTTATTTTTACTTTGCTTGTAGACTCGGTAGTTTAGTGTGGTGTCTGGCACAAGGCCACTCAGTATAATCCAGCACTGCACGCTGCCGGGTCCGCAACACTAACACTTGTTTAGTATAATGAAATGCAGTTAATGAATGCTTCTCCGAGGATAAGTATTTTTTCAACCTTATTCTTTTGTTTTTACAATATGTTTGTGAGTGGGGTCAAAATTCTGGAACACCCTGGAATAAATTTACGGTTGTAGTTTATTAAACCGAAAAATCTTAGTAGTTGTCGCAAAGATGTTGGCTGCGAGAAATGTTGTATTGCTGCTACTTTCTCTGGGACCGGTGTGATTCCATGTTTGTTGACCACATAGCCCACAACATTCAATTTCGAAACAGAAAAATCACATTTGTTTACATTGATTTTCAACCCGAAATGTGTAAAAGCAAAAGTGAAGCCTCTCAAAACTTCGTCGATAAGTCTCTGAAAAGTTTCGGCAGCATTACGTAACCCAAATGGCATCCTCATGAACTCATAAAATACGAAAAGAGTAGTAAGTGTTGTTTTCTTTATGTCTTCTTCTGCTACTAGAATTTGGTAGTATTCCTTAACCAAATCCAGTTTTGTGAAAACTGTGGTTCCCTGTAGCCTATGGTGAAATCGTATAAGTGTAGGATTGGGTATTTATCTGGAACTGTTTTTGCATTAAAATTCCTGAAATCCCCATAAGGTCTCCATGCTCCTGTGTCTGGTTTTGGAATCATGTGTAGTGTAGTGATTTTCCAAGCGTAGCTTAGATGTGGCACAAGACCGATAGTAGTGGAGGTACCCAGTGAGGATCGAACTCACTATTCAGTTGTAATTGTTCTAGCGAGACAAGCTTGCTAATCTTTACACCCCCCTCGAAGTGACCAACCATGTGTAGTCTATGGGTTACTTGAAGGACTTATGATGCCTAATTGCAACATATGTTGAAATTCATCTTTTGCTATTTTAAATTTCTCTGGGTGTAATCTGCGTGGGGATGTGTGTATGTGGTCCAGTTGTTGTGATAATATGTTTAGCAGTGTGACGAATTTCATCTGTATGTTTTAAAGGCGTAATAAGAGTAGAAATTTTTTTATCAATTCCTGCAGTTGGTATTCTAGAACTAAATTTCTGTTGGCGTCTAGAGTGAGGTGATTCCCTTTGCCTCTAACTTTGTGTTACTGTTGATGAGAGAGCGTATCGCTGTATTCATTGATAAGTCGAAATGAAAAAAAAAAATCCGCTCCTAGAATTGGTGTTTTCACTTGCGCTTGTGTGAAAATCCATGGAAAAGATCGTCGTAATCCCAAATTGAGCGTTAATGATATCTCTCCGTATGTCTCGATGTTTGATCCAATTACGGCCTGTAATGTGGATGTGGATGGTGTATGTTTTTGGTTAGGACTCAGTGGAATAACACTGATTTGTGCACTGGTGCCGACTAAAAATAAATATCCAGTATTTCTTTCTCGGATGTAAAATAGACGACATTTTTTCCCCATTCCAGCAGCTAAGGTCATCTTTACTTGCTGCTGGAGTAATCTTTTCCCTGGCGTTGTGTAGAAGTATGGTAGGTCCTTGAATTGAAGTTGCATGGTTCTGTGCACTTCTTTGCCTCTTTTCCAAACTTAACAAGTATCGTAGGTAAGTCGTCTTCTGGAGGATGAGTTCGACATGCCCCGACTTCTGAGCGGTGAGTAGGATCGATTTTTGCCTTCGTACCAAACTCTGTATTTGTAGGGTGATGTTGGTTATATTTTGATGTATCTGAGACAACTCTTCTGACCTGTCGGTTGGTGTTGCTATAGTTGTTGGGATATGTCATGTAGCGTATACGATTTTGTCCTTGTTGTTGTCATGTATTTTGTCCGCTATTTCTGATACTCTCTCTAACTCTAAATCATCGGGGAGGGATGTGAGTATCTGTGTTGTGTGCGTTAATTTTTAACACTACTTCGGATATGGTATTATCTCCTAATAACGATCGCATTTTCCTCGGCCGCTGTGAAGGTTTCATATGTCACAGATTTAAATTATTGAATAGATTGTGTAACCTTCTGTCATCCGATTTTCCGACAAGACTAACTAATTTTTCAACGTGTCGTAAGGTTTTTCTTCTGGGGTCTCCTCAAGGAGACAGACTACCTCTGTCGCCATGTATGCGGGGAGTTTTTCAACAACAGAGGCATATCATGAGCTACGATTTGATTATAATTGCGTTAAAAATTGCCTTTAATTGTGAAAATCAGATTTGCACATTTGTCGGGTTGTAAATGTGTAAATTTACAGTTGTCGCGGATTCCATAGATTCGGTGGTGTTTGTGTTCATTTTCTAGGTCTTAGTGTTGTGGTTATTTTTTTCCCACGACTTTATGGTAGAATTTGTATCATTTAGATATGTGGCTGAACATTGGGTTCAGTTTATTGAAGCTTTGTTCTTTCGAATCATAAGATTGCGAGTTCGTCTCACGTCGATTGGTCACCAGTTTGTAGGGTCAGTCTATCCGGATAAAAAGTGAAAAATTAAAATCCGAGTATCGTACCCACAAATAGAACATAACGCGAAGAAATGATTTTTTTACATACGCAAAAAGGAAAACCAAACTGAAATAATCATATATGTACACATTAACATTTGTTTTTACATGGTAAACATTGCGTTTGTTCCGGTCGTAATCTAAGTTCAAATGTTCGACAAAATTTCCCATTTGTTAAAAGGTAGTTCATAAAGTCATATGCCTTGGTCAATATAAAGTGTGTATATATGTGTGTGTATTTGAATCACATTTTAACGGAGTGTATGCGTGGCTGCTGACTGAATCTCTCTGTATGTGTGTCTGTGTGTGTTGTGTGTGTGTGTGTGCTAATACGGGAAATCTGGTTACGGTGGTTCAAATGGAAATAGACATACAGATAGATGATCACACTTACTTTATTCCACGTCTATGAATATTTCTTTGAGTTGTGTGAATATTCCTTTGAAAGGCATGTAGTCGTCGCTGACTGAGGCGTTGTCATGATCCAACTGCCTCTCAACGAAAAGTGATCACACGTCCAGTTGCTGACTGGGTTTTTTCTGTGTGTGTTTTATTGCCCCTGAAATCGGTGTATATATAGTTATCGTGATCGGCTCCAAACGAAAGCTTTTTCGGCTTACGCGGGATAGCACTTAGCGACCAATTCATTTAGAGTTCAAACGTACGGACGTAGTCGGAAACATAGCACGCGATTGTACTCTCGAATCAAATTCCAGAAACCACTTATTTAATTTTGGGTCCTATTTTTTTTTTTTTTTTTTTTTTTTACTGATTTGTACAAGTGTTTGTTTTAGTGATTCTGATCCTATTTATGTGTAGACGTTTTTTACTTATTTGTACTTCACCTATTGGTTGGGAAATATAGGATTTTATATCCTATAAGATCTTGGTTGTTGCTGATAAAGTTTACATAAAATAAAGATGTGTTTGTATAACTGAGAAGTGTAAAATTCAATGCCATTTTCGATTGAGAAGGGTTTTTTTTTTCAAATAATTTTATTTTTATTTTACAACTGTTTATTCTACGGATGATCAAAAAAATAAAATTCTGAATTAAAAAAAAATAATGGCTCTTTTTGGGGCCACTAAATATTGAAAGTTCTTGACTAATATACTCATGCTGACAGCATTTTTGTTTAATAAAGTTTTTGATGTCATTATATTATAACCACTTACGCCCATCACCCACTCGACTCTTGCGGGTTCGGCCGTCAGGCCCGGCAGATTCCCAATCGGAAACAAGTGATAATAATCCATTCTTCACCCACGTTGTGAATTTTCTGACCTGAAGAGTGGTTTCGTGGTCCGACAGGGTCTGTTGACAGTGCTGAGGGTGGGACAAGGGTATATTAGTAAAATAAATAAATTACGATAAAATAATCGTGGGAGAAAGATCGGTGTCGCTTCAATAGAGTTCAAGTCTTTATATACAGGCAGAATTAAAATTAAAGAGAGAGAGAGGGGGGAGAGAGTCAGCTGCGTATCAGGTTATCTCTCTCGGTCGTTCAAATTTCTTATGTGAATATTGCGTCCGCCCTCGTTTACGCAACAGGACCTTTGCACTTGGTTCATATCAGGTTTCCGAACTCTGTTAACAACCGCTACTATGATCTCGTCTCAAGAAATTTCAGAGACTTCAGTCTACTTTCCGCAATTCTGCTGTTCGCGGCCCTACTCGTCACTCTGCGCTACTCTCTGCAATTCTTCTAACCACACTAACACGATCTCTGTGACTCTCCTACAATCTCCCAACCAATCTCTAACAATTCTGCTAACCCCCTCTAACAATTCCCCATAATTTTGCTAACGACTCTCCATAATTCTCTACCAATATCCTAATCAATCTGTTATTCGCAGCCCAAACCCCTGCTCATATCGAAGATGGGTAGGGTTTTTATTTCGAGGGTCCCAACGCATAACTGCTACAGCCAATCGCCGGCAGCCCTCCTACTACCGTAACTGGTATCTTCTTACTAATCCTAATTCCCCTGTGGACACTCTCATTTACACCCACACGGGCGGGCCCGAACGGGACAGCCACTCGCCACCCGAGAATTGTCGTTATCGGCCACTCACGACTCTCCTCACCTCTATCCAACTATATCCTGGTCACCTACATAGTTCCGGGTAGCCTCGGGACAGCCAATCGCCATCCGAGAATTGTCCTTATCTGCTACTCTTTGACTCCCCTTTCTTCTGGTCAATTTCAACTTGGTCGCACATATATTTCTAGGTAGCCTTTTCCCCAGGACGCGTTAACTTCTTCAACAATGGTCAGTCACTCGCCCGGAACTATTGGTGGCCAGAATGTCTAGCCCTTCATTGTTTACGTCCACACACACACATAAAAAAAAAAAAAAAAAAAAAAAAACAGGATATAAAATTTTCGGTGACTTCTTTAAAAAAAATAATAGGAAGAATTTTTTTTCAACCTTTTCCTTAAGCTAGTCACTTTATCAATATTTCCAGTTAGTCCGTTAATTTCATCATGTTACTCATAGCCTCAATTTTACTACCACTCGAACCCTAATCAACTCATTACGCTTCGTTAATTAAAACTTATTTTAATTTCGCCGAATCTCTCTCTCTCTGTCATCTATAATATTCATTTGGTGACGCTAGCTTGGACATTCATGAGTCTATCACGCCAACCATTTACAGTCCTGCATCCCGGTTGAAAAGTCATTAGATTGGAATTCTGTGTCATAACATAGCTGGTTAATGTCAGTGGTTACTGGGAGACAACCTGTGTGTTAGGTGTCCAGAGCAGTAGATCACTCACAAGTTCTTGTTTTGCTCTCCAGCAGTGTCTGGCAAAGTGCATTCTATGTCTATGTAAGATTGTAGAAATATCAGGAATGGGTCCATAGACCTGTGATTTAGTTGGATGTTGTCTCCAAGCGACGTCAAGTATAGCTCTCAGCATCTGAGTGTAGGTTCCATCCATTACATCCATTTTATTCAAGGCAGCCCAGAAATATTAGAAATACAGCAAAGATAAAGAAATCACTTGATTAAAGCATTATAATTGACTGAAAAAATATTTCGACAAAGTTTTCTAACTTATGGGTTTCCATATATTTTTTGATTTAAGGCACAAATTATTATAAGACTAGGGTTGTCAGATTAAAGAAAGTGGTGAAAACACATCCTTTGGAAGAAAATGTACTTTTTGTTAAAAGTAACTAATATTCTTCTTAATTAATCCTTAAAGTTACTATAAAATCTTTGAAACAATTGTATGGAAGGGATTTACTGGATTTTTAAGAGATTTTTAAAGTGTTTTAATCTCTCTTTCATTGACATACATCAAATTTGTAAATCGAACTGGGTAGAAGTGATTTTGTCTTTATTTTCATGGTTTAAAATGTCTAAAATCATTAAGGACATAAAATAATCTTTTTTTTTATGGATTAACTTTAGCCTATTATCTGTAAAAAAAAAAACAATTTAACTTCTGTTGTGGCCTGTTTAGGGGCCAGAAAGAAAGACACGGAAGACGAAGGTAGGTTGAAAAAAGTATATTGAAGATATATACAAAACAATAGTGTTAGTTGTTAGTAATAAGTAGATTAGCACTGCGTCTACTACTCCACTTCACTTCACACTCTGCGTTTCCGTCTGACTCTCGCAGTTTGTATTTACGAGAAGGAAGAGATCATTATACTGTAAGAGGGTTTACCAAAACAACTGCAAATAAGACATTTAAATTATTTAAAATGGACTTTCAAGTTTTTTCCATGGAGGTACTTATTAAAAAAAAATCATTAGAAATTGGAATTCATAATCTGGAGTTCTGTTTTCATATGTTACTAGCCATTCAGCCTGCTAGATTTTAAAAAAAGAAATTATTTTTTTACATTTTAAGGAAATGCATCACATAAGCATTTTTTTTTTTTGGTTTTTGTAGGTAGATCAATAAATTTACATAACAGACTATAGCCAACTCCCTACTTGAACTTTAACTTTTATAAAATAATTTTTTAGATATTTGTGATCTGGAGTGATTAATCTATAGTAACATGAAAAAAATGATTGGTAAAAGTGATTCTTTTATAGTGCTAATTGCACAAATCTACTCTCATGTCAGTAATTTTTTATTATTACACCTGTCTCCCTAATGCATGTGATCAATTCCGCTCTGCCTTCACTGTCATAGGCCAGTTGACTACTTAAAGCGCATAAAATAATAGCCGGGGATGAGACAGGTGTAATAGTAAAATGATACTCTAATTTCTAACATTGTAGGGAAACAGAAGGCCTTTGTGGATATGGGTCACATGATGGCCGTTTGATGACACTCCATATAGCGACGAAAGTAACAGTCAACTTCAGTTCATTTTACAGCAGCCAAATAGAAAGCTTGCTTTCTATTTGGCTGCTGTAAAATGAACCCAGGCAGAAGCTAAATTTGCCCCCTCAGCTGCTTACAACTCCATGGTGCTGTTTCCCCTTTAGGAATATATCTTTCCCAGACATAGAATGAAACTCCAGCTCACAGTCCTCAATTTGAGAAAAACCAATGACTCGCTGTTTCCTGTATGTGCCCTTAACTGGGACATAGATGAATCTGGAGTCCTAAACATGGCTTCTTCAGACCGAGGAGTATCTCCATATTATATGCATGACCCTTCCTTTTTGTTTCTCCTTACCTTGGCTTGTGCTGTATAGATATATGTGATATAGTATTCTCCACATGGGACAATTGTATAGTTTTGTGTATGTCTTGGCGATATATGAGAACAAAGCATATATGTCATTCCTTTTCCTATCAGCTATTCTGTTCTGTCTGTGAACTATGGTGTTATTATATCACAAATATAATAATGCCCATAATAGTGGAAATACAAATGGGAGACTAAATCTTTCTACCATAGCTCTCTCCCGTTACAACACTATAAACTAATGTCATATTCGAAACATTTGTGAAAAATTTACAGACATTTAAGAGAATAACTCATTTTTGGTACAGTAGAGACTTATTTGACCTGCTGTAAGATGTCACTGGACATAAAGTGGAGGATTGATATGCTGTTAATATTAAGCAATAGCTTCTTGCTTCCCAATCAACTTCAAAAACTTAAATGCAATGTTAATCATTATCTTCTGCCTTCTTAATTCTTGTTCTTTTAATCACCCATCCTTGTAGATCCCATACAATCAAACTTGCCTTTATCCTTGCCGACAACAACACCTGGCTGATTAATCAGATTCATTCCTATGATAACATCGATGCCTTTGATAATGTTGTCAAATACTATAATTTCTTCCTTTATTCACACTCCGTGCACTATCAGTGTGTATTAAACCCTTTCTTTGCATCCTGTCTCCCTTCTCTCCACTGTTGCTTCACACCTCTTTCCATTTCAGGGGGCAGATAACTTTGGTGTTATCAGTGTAGTCATGCATCCAGTATTCACAAGGACTCTCACCCTCTTGTTTTTGACCAGTACCTCTATAGTTGGCAGTGTACCACTGCTCACTTGAAGAGATATCTACTGGCACAGCAGACCTCCTTTTCCCTGATGGTAATATGGTCTGACTCACCACACCTGTCACAGATGTCTTACCAAGGTGTTGTTTTACAATCTCTGACCATATGAAATCTCTTACATCTAAAGCACTGACTGCTGAATTTCCCAGGTTTTACTGGGACTACTATTGTGGTTGCTACTGTACCCAATTTATGTGCCCTATTAATAGCCAAGACTCTGGCACTTACTAACAAATGGCTCATTTCCATATTTTCAATGCCGGGCTGTTGATATGTCACTCGGAAGCACTTTATCACCAGTTTAACAAACCCTCCTGATGAGTTCTGCTAATCCAGCCAACTGTCTAATATTGTTGACACAAACATTGACTGATTCTTCAGTTCATTCTATTCCCAGTTAACTTTCCAAAGGCCCCAAATTCACCTTTCATGAATGCACTCTATAGTTTATGTTCAATCAGATCAGCATCCTTCTGCACTTCCTCGCTCATTTCAAGATAAAGCACCAGATCATTTCTTTCAAGGAACAATGGAATTAGGTTTGGCAAATCAGGGATTATCTACAACTGGGCAAGTAACCTCAGGTTTTCAATCATGCTACCAGCAAAAATTTACCCTCCATCTTGTTGCTAACTGGCAGCCAAAATAGTCTTTAGTCTCAGTACAATGAAAGAATCAAACTCTCCCTCAGTGTCTTTACCTTTGTCTAGAACAGGAAGTAACATACCTCTGCCCAGCTCTTTTGCTAAATCTGTCAAATCATCTGATTATTCAGAACTGCTGTCTTTTCTCTCCCATTTGCCTTGGGCCCTGTTTCATAAGGTGTCCCCAAAAACTATTAAAAAAAAAAAAAAGAAAAGAAAAGAAAAGACAGACAGACAAAAAAGTTACTTTTCTCCTCATTTTCAGCTTTTTATTATGCTGCCTGCTTACCCACAATTCATATTGCCTCCCATTAGTGAAAAGTATTTAATCTATCATTGCTCAGTTAACACTTTTCCATTTCCTTTCTCCGGGTAAATAAGAAAAAGTTTCTTTTGTTCATCTTTTCTTTCTCTTCTACTAGTTACCATCTATGAAATCACATATGATTCACTGCCAGAATAAGACCACCTGAAACAATGAAATTTTTTGCAAAATTTCATCAGCTGTTCCCAAGTGATTAACTACAAACACCAGGAAATGTCATGACCTTTTAGTTCACTTGGGAAGATAACTGGAAAAAAAGATAGGCAAAGGGTTTCACTCTCAAGATTGTCCTGTGTCTTCATTAGTAATTAATAAGTCATAAAAAGAAAAAGAACTTGTCAAAATATTTTATTTGATAAATGTACAAATCAAAGACCACTGTTAAGATGAAAAGCAGAAATTGTTTTTTTTCTGTCAAATTTGTCATAGAAAAAAAAAAAAAAAAAAAAAAGAAAAAAAAGGAAATAAAAGGAAAAAAAGGCCTCTACAGAGTTGGCAGCAGTAAGCAGCCCTGAGCCATCAGACCAGAGGCACAGGAGCCACATGATAGATGGTGATTGATTTAGAGAAGTGATACATTGGAACCCAGCTGTGAGAGAAAGATCAATAGATAGAGAGAAGGAGAGTAAATGTTCAAGAGAGAGAGAGTGTGTGTGTGTGTGTGTGTG